TAGTCAAGATATGTGTGATGTTGCGAATTCATCGATCATGTAGATTCATTGTTCGAGTTTGTCGAGTCTCTGTTCGTCGTCGACCGTTCAATTGCCACCAAGACCATCATCAGCCCTCAGGTTGAGGTGGTTACCTTGCTTTGATACAAAATTTTGGAGCGAAAGCGTTTATGAAATTCTTGTAATAAGAATTACATAGTAATTAAGAACAATATTGGAATAAATTGCTTGAATGTTATTGAATAATAATTGAACTTATCAAAAAAGTATACAATATCTCTATATTTATAGGCAAAATTATTTCCTGCTACTAATAATAGGAAAGTAAAATTTCCCACTACTGATAATAGAAAACTAAAATAAGGAAACTAATGAAATCATAATCTAATTAGAAATTCTATTCTAATCAATGAAGAAAAGAAATCATATTCTAAACAAGAAATAAGAATAAAAAGATAAAACATATTTGAACTAGAAAAGGAAACTAGAAAAGATAAATCACAATTGTAGTAGGAAACTACTAATCATGATTATGCACTACATCATCCAAACACGTGGATGAAAGACAAATAAATTTACACAACTTTGGAAATAGAGAACTATCCACTGAGAAAGAACTAAATTATTCATGTACAAGATACAAACAATTAAAAAATCCATGAATAATTTTTTTTAGCTTTTTCCACCGGTATTTTGTTACGATGCGAAAGATACAGAGTAAGAATGAGAGGAATAAAAGAGACGAGAAAGGCGTGACCTTTGGATTTGAAACAATGACTCCAAAAGCACTGAAAGTGTCATACAGCAGTTTTTCATCAACATCCTGCAAAGAATACACAGAGTTCAGTTGAATTTGCTGGTAAATATATTATCCAAGAGAAGTGTGTGCTACATGTTAATGGTTGTATAGAATATCTGCACCGACTACAGAGTGAAAGGAAAACAAGGAGTACTCAAGTAAATCCAAGAATCCAAAATCTCTTACAGGGTCAAGGTTCCCGATGAACAGGTTGGCTCCCACATCAACACTTTTCTTATCTTGAGATGCCTGAAACAACAAAACAAGATGATCAAACGAAGCCATACATTTTAGTTACAATGCTGCAGTGATTCTTACAATAACAATAAGATAAGCATTAATCGGCTACGCCAAAACATACAAAATGGTGACAAACTCACGTAGAAAGTGGAATTGTAATTCCATACCTTATTCACTCGTACTGCCTTCCCATGTAGTTTAATCATATTTAGAACCTTAATTGCCTGCAGAAACAAGTCGATAATCAAAATCACGGATCTCATAAAGAAGTAACTCAGACAAACAAAATTGTATTCTAAATGAACAGTTATACTCGCATAAGTAACACTTACATAATCAGCATCTTCTTCACTTCTGAACTCCACAAAGCCGTAGCCTTGATGAGCATTTGTGACTCTGTCCTTGGGAACATACACATTGACTGGATTGTCCAAAAATATTCAAGGCCCAATAACATACATAAAGTAAACAAGAAAGATCACAAATTCTATAAATGTGTGATCTATTAAAAAATATAATGATTTATGTAAACAAATATCATTTGGTAAATTATAATGAAAACAGAGAGTCTAATAAAAGACGTCTCAAACCTACCAACAGGGCCTGCTTGCACAAACAGCTCCCACAATAACTCTTCACTTACCTGCAAGTACAGAGAATGAATAAAAACTTAGATTTCTCAATAATTATGAAGACAAATATTGGATTAGGGGCGTAAATGTATTAGCCTAGTGCCCCCCAAAAAAAAAAGTTGTCCTCCCCTGCCTCTGTATGGGAGACAACATACCCAGGCATATTCACTCCCCAAAAACACATGGCAGATTTTCTTTTCTTCCCTCATGTTGGGAATGGAAGTCCAATGGGAAAGGGGAATGGTCTACAACATAATCAGGCTTTAGAAAAACACAAATCAAACATGTTTAAGTGCGCAGGTCTCGATGTGCTGGTTCGCATACTCAGAATAAAAATTCGCAAGCACGTAACAATTACACAGGACTGGGAACTAGTATCTGTAACACAGATAAGACAAACTGCCATAATAAATATTTCAAATTATAGAGCCACAAGAATGGACTATAACAGTCAACAGAAGCTAAATAGATAGCTAGCCAAGATAAGTATAAGAAGCCTTTAATTAGTGATTCCAAAACACAGTTTGCTAAATTGAAATACTGGAATGGTTACTGCTCGTTTAGCTTTATGAGGAAAATGCCAACATTACATGAAATCTTTTGAAAATTAAATTCAACCAAAGGGGGAGATGAAATTTTGTAAAATAAAATTTATAACATCTCACTTCACCGAAAGCCCAACTCAACTTTTTTCTCAAGTTTACTAAGGCTCCTCATCTGTGATAGCATCTCACTATCAAACATTTCATCACACATAGCAAGGCAAATAAATAGAAGTATTCAGACAAATGGCAAGATAAAACCAATCAATTCAATCAGTTCGTAGAAATGACAGAAAGTTCCCTCTCATTGTAATCTAAAGGAGGAACAGCAATAGTCCATAAACTTATTCACTAAACACACAAGTCTACATTAACGGAAAGACCTAAAACCCTAACGCAGGAGTATCAGAAAGATGGAGGAAAAAGAGAATAGTACTCTGGTGTCGAGATTGCCAACGTAAACGGTGGCGTCCTGGTTGCGCTCGGCTGAGTGTTGGCCTAGAAGGTTTGCTCCGACACCAGGCGCTATTCGGGTCGTCATAGAGGCCTCCGAAAGGACGCTGTAAATTGGGTTACTGGGGAAACTTCTGCGGACCTTGAAGGGAATACTGGGACTGGAATTTATTTCAGGTT